AAGAGGAGGCGGCGGCTTAAATAGGCGGGGGCGAAGCGAGAACGTGGCTTTGTCTACCGGTTCCTATGGCAGCCACGGACGGTTGCATCAGATCAAAACAAACGCACGTTGCGGGGGTGGTGGTGGAGGAATAAACTTTCTTTTTTAAAATTTAACTTCATACGAGTTTTGGTGGACCAAGCCCGCTTCCCCCGTACATTAGAGGTCGGTGCATTGGACTTACATAGATCTTTTTTAAAAATCTGTTTCTTTGGACGACTTGCGTAACAACAAAAAAAGATTTTTAATTTTCATCGTGATTTTAATCAATTAGGTTCGTAAAAAAATACTGATTTTTTATCCCCCCTGAGCTGGACTATAGGACTGGCATGTTTAAAGCAGTGCCGATGGCCAGATGAGGATAGAGAGATGTGCAAAGTGACAGTGATTCAATGTATTCTTTGTTAGTAAACAGTTTGTAAATAACAGTTCATTAGTGATAGTGGTTTATCAGTAAAGGAACAAGGCCCATGCATAAAAATGGTGTAGTTACATAGTCCTGCTCTAATATCTGAGCCTACGAAGTGGATCTGATCTATGAAAGTTCACATTAAAATACCAGAATCTTTAAGGTGATATAATTTTTTGTCTTGTTTTTGTTTTTTGTCCGATAATACTTGCACCAACTAATGTGGCTATTGAAAAGTGCATCTAGTTTCATTCATGCCTGATTTTCTTCCAGTAGGTAAGCAGAGGTGGTATACATACAGGACTCTCCTACCCATGTTATCTTCACTACAACCTTGTAAGGTAGGTCAGGCTGAGTGAGAATGTGTGGCTGACATTAAGCCAGTCCTCCTTTCTCAGCTGAATCTTTCTGGCAGGACTGTTGTCAGTGGAGAGAAAAGCCACACCTCTGGCCTTGAGCTCAGTGTTGTACACAGTGTTACACATGTTTCTGGTTGAAAACGAGGTCAAAACAACAGTGGAATATTGAATTATGAAGCACCTCATCTGTGTGCAGGCATACATGCACAGCACAAAGGAACACTGCATTATAACACTTAATCTATTCAGATCCTGATTGTTCAGCCTGAGTGCAGTCCCTATACACAGTTACTGTATCTGGAAGAGAGCTCTGTTGATCTCACATATACTTACTTTTGATTGTAGAGCTTGGACTTGTATAAAATGTTGAGCTTTAATAAATGATCCTCAGTTTGCTGAAAATGAGTCTTTAACTTTTAAGAAGTAAAGAAGCATAGGTATTCAAACAGTGTGAAACAGGCATTTCATAAATTAATTTCAAAGTACTTAGCTCTCTGCTTGATCATTTGCTCTGTCATCCTCCAACTTCCTATAATAATCTAAGACATATGTTGTACAGTATGTTTATCTGTCACAAGCAAACATGAAAGCCTTTTAATCACTTCATTCCTTTGCCACAAAGAATTTCTTTGATACCACTTTTTCTCTGGAAAATGACAGAGAGCTGTACTCCCCATATTCCCCTCCCAGCACGTCAGTGGGTCAGAGATAGCAGCTACACTCCTACTGCTAGGGCAAACTCAAGACCGTTCTGTATCTGAAGGTGATATGACCTCTCGTGGGCCATTCCTATATTTGTCCACAAACTTGAAGTTTGTGCCAAGTAGCTGCCATCAAAACTTAGCCCTACAAAACTTAGCCTTACAAATGTGCTGGAGACAAGGATCTCCTCCCACCTCTTAAGCAAACACGTTCTGACAGTGTGCTAATAAATGGAGAGGGGTACAATAATCATGTGTACTCTCATGATTGCCTTTCAGTTTAAATTATAAGAAAAATGATGATGTCATTGTCAATAGTGAGGGTATCAACAAAACATTCAGACAAAATAATATTACTGGCAATTTAAATAGAATATTCACAACAGTGTAAGTGCAATGGTGTAACTCGTGCTGCTAATTAATGAATCTTTGATTGACTTATTAGTTGCATGCTGTTTTACATTCAATTGATGTGCAACTAAGTATTCAATTGGGGATGTGTTAAGCCCAAAGGACATTTGGATCATTGTGTTTTTTTAGTAATGTTATGATTTTAAACTGTATTTGTTATATGATATGTTGTTGCCCGCCCAGAGTAGTTGGTATGACTAGATGGGCGGGCCATAAACATAATAAATAAATACAAATTAATCACTAGCTATTCACTGTTCCAAGTTATGCTATTGCACTTACACTGGAATATGTATTCAGCTGTATTCTGGCCATTGTCTTAAAATGTATGTTAAGAAAATTAAGAGCATGGCAATCAATAAAGAGGAGATAGTCCATTAAGTGCATGTAAAGATCCAAAATGAACATTTGGAATATGCTGAAAATATGAATATCTTGCAATTTGTTTAAAATGATCAGTGGAGGCATATCCATGCAGTAAGAATTAGAAAAGTCCTGATCTGGAGGAGCTTCCTTAGGATGGAGAATACTGTATTATATGCAACAAAAATCTGAAGCAGACTTTAAGAATGCACAGGGTTATACATTCTTCTTTGTATCATGGCATGGACAGGTGGATTGTAACAGGCTACTGGAATCCATGGTGCTTAGTTTGCACACTCTGAGCAAAGTTGTTAATGGTACAACTTGTAAAAGTCACAATTCATAAAATTGTATTGACATGCGGTGACTTGATGGCACATAATAGAAGCAGAGTCAACTAGAAAAAACTATAGAACATAGATTTATTACTGGATGCTAGGGATGTTTTGGATTTTAAGGCTGGCCAGTGAATAAGTACTGCAGTGAATGAATAAACCCCTGAAACACACAAAATACAGAAAGTTAAGAGTCAGCATAGTGTAGTGGATAGACTTGCGGACTAAGACTCAGGACACTTGTGTTCGAATTATTGCTCAGCCATGGTAACTCATTGGGGGAGTGGAGCTGGAGAACTACTCTTTAAATATCTCACATATCTCAAAAACTCTAGTAAGGTTGCCATCAGTCAGATGCAACTTGACAGTATATAACATATAGTAAAGAATATTCTTTAATATAGGTCCTGATGTTGGGAAAGTGTGAAGGCAAGAGGAGAACGGGATGACAGAGGATGAGATGGCTGGACAGTGTCTGTGAAGCAACCAACATGAATTTGGCAGAACTACGGGAGGCAGTGGAAGACGGGAGGGCCTGGCATGCTCTGGTCCATGGGGTCACAAAGAGTCGGACACGACTAAACGACTGAACAACAACAAAGAATATTCTGATTATATAATTGAGAACAAAACATAGATCTTCACAAACTGATTGTTGTAGACAAAACAAATGGGGGAGGATATAGGAAGAACTTACGTATCCATTAAAAACCCAAAAGACCAATTTGAATGCAGCATAATTGTTTAGAACTGCTGAGTCCAATATCAGAGCGGCTGTAATTACACCGAGTGTCTGACAGGAAAGGAACAACAAGAAGAAACGCTAAAATTTTCATTTAGCACAGGCTTTTGTGGACTGTAAGCCCAGTTCTTCAGATCTCTTGTTATCACCACAAGGCGGTGGTTTTCTGCGACATTAGTCGACATGCAAACAGGATTATTAACCCTCTTAAAATCATGGCACGCAGGAGGGTTTATGCAGTAAATGGATTTAACTTCACTGGGAGCAAGAGAAATTCCCACCCACCCCAGACCTTGTACTGCTCCTCCGGAATCTGATTTCCTTGCGCCCCCTCTAAATAATGCTGGATCGCTCTTAAATTTGCTCATGACTTTTGTGGTTGCTCTGAAAAAAAAATCTGAAAACAGCATTTTGTTTTGGACGCACACCCTGCCCCTCCCCCCCCCTTTTCATGGACCACCAGGGCTACAGACGCCTTTCGTTCTGAGTGTTCGTGCAATGTTTCCTTCTTTCTCTCAAAAGCGTCCCCTATCATCGGAAGGCGCCTTTAAAACGAATTGGAACACCTCAGTTCCGTTTCCTCTCCAGCGCTGTGCAAAGGCTACGCAGCGGCCAGGCTTCGCTGATTGGACACGTTCACGCTGACGTTACTGGAAGCGTCCCTCCCTCGACGTCACCTATTGGGGGTGGACGTCGCCCAACAAAACACAAGCCCTCCAGAATTCCTCACATCCGGGAATCTTTTGGTGGTCGGCCAAACAAGGATCAATAAAGCCAATGATAGACAGGGGGCGTGCCGGCAACGCTGATTGGTCCATACAGCAGCAGCGCGGATGCGCAGGCGCATTTGCTTTCACCCGGAGGGGGTCGAAAGGGCGACGGAAAATTGAGCGTCCTCCATGGCGGCGGCGCTGAGGCGGCTGTTCCACGGACCGGAGGTGGAGCGGGTTCGGCCAGAGCCGGAGCCTCCGCCCACCCCGCCTCCGCCGCCATGGGGCCAGGAGTGCCGCCGGTGCCCGGAGTGCCACCGCTGCCCACAGCCCCGCTGCTGCAGGGAGAGAACCGCCCGGCTGGTCTCCCAGGTAACGGCCAAGTCCTCCCTCTTCCCTGCCCTTCCCCACCCTCTCAGCGGCGGGGCAGTGACGTCAGCGGCCGCCCCTCCCTGGTGTGTGTGTGCGCGCGCGGGGCGGGGGGGGGGGCGGGAGG